CTGTAAATCCCAGGCTTATCGTCACACTCAGAGTAGACACACTGAGTTTCTAGTGAAGGTTAAGCAGGTGATGTCATCATGCTGGTTAATGGTACTTACCCTGAGTGTAAACACAAGCCCTGGATTTACTGCTAATAGAGCTCAAGGCAGATGGAGCTTTCATGTTATGGTGGGACTGTGCAGATAACAGTCTTCTCATACTTACATGCTGTTCACCACAGTACTTATGTAACGTAAGCACAACCAAATGTTTTTCATTCTTTATTTTTAATTTATATCTTTAACTTATAAAGCAACTCCCCTCTGTCTATGACCTTTTTATCACAAACGCCTTTAACCTACTTGCGATTGAAACCTGGCTTCACAAATCTGACATTCCCTCTCCCGCTGCCCTCTCCCATGGTGGCTTCCTCTGGACTCACTCTCCCAAGCCTAGTAGACGGAAGGAAGGTGTAGTCTGAATCCTATCTCCTCAAAGCACTTTTCAGGTCCTTCATTCACCTCCCTCTGTCCCTTTCCTCATTTGAAGCTCACTGTATTTGTCGATTCTCTCCAGTTTCTTTGAGAATTGCTGTGATCTATTGGCCTCCTGGATCGGTATCAAGCTTCCTTGATGTCTACCATACTTTCTCTCTTCTGAAACTCCCACAATAATTCTTGGTGACTTCAACATCCATGTTAATCTTAACACCCCTGCTACTTCTAAACTTCTGAGCCTAACCTCATCTTTCAACCTAAAACAATAGACACATGCTTCTACTCACTCTAATGGCAACTGCCTTGACCTTGTATTCTCCTACCTATGCACTCCTTGTAAACTCATCAACATTCCTTTTCCTCTATCTGATCACTCCCTTATTAGCTTCACTATCTCCTTGGCTTCCTCCCCCTTGAATTCCAATTACCTAACAGTTACCTGTAGAAACCTCTTAACCCTTCTTTTCTGCAACAGATTGTCTCAATGACAAAACCTCTGATTCTGTTTGCACCACTCCACAGAAATTGCTCTCCTAAAACCCACACATGATTTACTAACCACTAAAACCAATGGACACTATTCCATACCCTTACTTTTGGCCCTCTCCGCTGCCTTTGACACAGTTGACCACCCCCTGCTCCTCACAAACTGTATTTCCTTGGCCTCCATGACAGTACTCTCCCTTGGTTCACATCTTACCTATCTCACCACACCTTCAGTGTCAGTTACAACTCTATTTCCTCCTCTCCTATTCCTCTTATCGTTGGGGTCCCCCAAGGTTCTGTACTTGGACCTCTCCAATTCTCGATCTACACCTCTTCCCTGGGTCAGCTGATAGCTTCCCATGGTTTCCAATACCATTTCTATGCTGATGACACACAAATCTATCTCTCTATCCCTCAGCTCACCCCATCAATTTCCTCACTTATCACTGATTTACTAAAAGTGATATCAATAGTGCTAACCCGCCCTTCCAATGCCAAGGTTCGCTCACAGAGCTTTTGCATATCCTGGCGAACTAAAGATATTTCCATGTTCATACTCTTAACTTCACCTGCTATATCTGCAATAGAGGTGTTGCATGTAGTGACAGCAGTGAGGATATCCTGGAGGGTAGGCTCTGGGCCTTGAGTAGCAGATTGTAAGTCAGGTCTCACGTGAAGAAATAGGGAAGCCCCATTCACAGAGAAGCCACCAGCAGGCTCCTCTAGATGGGTAAAAGGTAAGCCCATGTCCCCAGCAAATGCATCAGGCCCTGCTCCTGCAGGAGCTAACATGGAGGAAGAGGGGGGATCTTTGGCTGGTGTCCATGCAAAGAGCTGCTGGGTCGCTTCCTTTGCAGAGTGGGGCGGGAGATCACCATCTTGGATGGTAGGGTCGAGGGCCGAGCGGCCTCTCTGTGCTCTCCTGGACATCGCAATTGGCAGTGCAGCCGTGTCAGGAGATGAACGGAGCAGAGGGGTAACCGGTAAGGTGCCTCTCAGAGAAGTAGACGGCAGAATTATGGTAATTAAGTAGCAGGATTCCGGCGGAGCTACTCGGGAACACGTTCGGTTACATGCTGCGCTGACCACACCCCCCTAACAGAGATATCAGACTGGATGTTATACCACTTCCTAAAACATAATCTATCCAAAACTGAGCTCATAAGATTTCCTCCCCCACGTGCCCCTTCCCCTGATTTCTCAGTCAAGATCAATGGCACAACTATCAACCCGTTCCCCACATGCAAGGGTGCTAGGGGTAACCCTGGATTCTTAACTGTCCTTTCAGGTTCACATCTAATCCCTGTCCAAATCATGCCACCTGAACCTCCACAAAATCTCCAGAATATGTACCTTCTTAACCAATGACAATATGAGGCTTCTAATTCACTCCCTGGTTTTCACTTGCCTCGACTACTGCAACTCCCTCCTCATAGGCTATCCCCCCTTCAGTCCATTATGAATGCTGCCAGACTCATCCACCTTGCCAACCATTCAGTGTCTGCCACCCCTCTCTGCCAATCCCTCCACTGGCTTCCACTCACCCAATTAATAAAATTCAAGGTACTAACAACAGCCTACAAAACCATCCACAACTTGGCCCCCAGCTACATCACTAACCTGGTCTCAAAATACCAACCAAAACTCTCTCTTCAGTCATCTTAAGACCACCTGCTCTCTAGTTCCCGTGTTACCTCCTCCCATGCTTGCCTCCAAGACTTTTCTCGAGCTTCTCCCATCCTATGGAACTCCCTACCCCAATCTGTCCGACTATCTCCTACTCTATCCACCTTTAGATGATTTCTGAAAACCCTTATCTTTAAAGAAGCCTATCCTACTTCTAATTAATGCAGTGTGTTTTTACTTTCTCCACCAGCTCATCCCCCTCAGCTATTACCTTTTGTATCACTTGACCCTTCCTCTTAGATTGTAAGCTCTAATGAGCAGGGCCCTCTGATTCCTTTTGTACCAAATTTTGTTGTAACTGTAATGTCTGCCTTCATTTTGTAAAGCGCTTCGCAAACTGTTGGCACTACAGTATATAAATCCTGTATAATAATAAGAATTATACTATTGGGTTGTATTTTGAGTCTATATTCTTCCCAGTTGGAAAGAATTTTTGCAAATGGAGTTGGAAAGATGGAAAAGAATTAATTTATGAAATAACTAGGCATTTCTATCTTAATGTTTTTCATGGGATCTCTGGAGATATTGATAATTATTTTTAATACAGGCATCAAGCCTGTATTATTTGAGGTCCATCCCATCTGGTGAGTGATCCTTTCTGAAAGTGACGGTGGATAACACAGTTGGAGCACATTTGATGTGGTGTTTAGAACACATGCGAGACTGTAGATAATTTCCCTGCTTAAAGTGGTTGTAAAACCTTATCTACACCCAGTAAAGCTTCAGGTGATACAATGAGATTAAATAAATCATCCTACTTATGTTGTACCAGTTTATCTGTAACTCTCTCTTATCTGAATCAGTTCCAAATCCAGAATTTACACAGCTTGTCTGAGCTTCCAGAAATAAGGGGCTGGAGCTGACATCACACACTGCACAACTCAGAGAGGAGAGATGAGAGTAATCTGAGACCTGAGTGAAGGGAATGGAAACACCCCCCTCTACACAGCACATAGGGAAGCATACACAGTAATAAAACATACACAGTAAACTTACTCCTCTGTAAAACCTGATAGCAGTGACTTTTGCAGATAGCAGAGGAACTACTTAGCAGAGATGGATCACACTAGTACTTTGGATTGAGGCAAATATACACTACAGATGGATATATTTTGTTAATTTGGTGGATCGATTTTTGATGACATTCCGTGTGTAGAGAATGAAACACAGGTACACAGAATTTGTTGATTGTTGATTTTGCAACATTGTATTTTTTATTTGTAGCAATTATTTGAACTTTAGTGCTGGTTGTGTATTTGGATATAATATTATAGTATATGTAATAATCACAGCTGATCTTCACATTATAAGGGTTTAAAAATGTTTTTGATTTGTTGGATTGTGTGGATTTATGGGACATATTATAATAATTTCAGTATTCTGGCATAACAAGCACAATCTCTTTCCCATGCTATAGAGAGAGGGTTGCTGTAGTGCTACCTGCTATGTGCTGTCCCCGATAACCTAAAGTTCACCCTTTTTTAAGTTGAAGTTTTTGTTCTACCATTGCCATCCCAGCACTCAGGTGCCTAAAAGGGGGTGAGAGCAACATTCGGACACCTTGTACTACTCTATGTTCTCCATCTTGAGCTTCTCAACTATCTCCACCCACCTGCTAAATAGCCTGGCACAAGGGAAGAACAGACCAGCTCAATACCTGAAATTTGATGCAGGGTAGAATATAATAATGACTGCAAAAGGAGACTAACCACCACCTTACAAGCAGATTAGTAAATGATTTGTTGTATCCTAAACATTTCTGATGCATGATAGCATTTTTGGAAAATTATTTGTTAAAGTGTATAAAAAATAGACAACATTTAAGAAATCAATCTTCTGTTCGTTGTCTGCCTTTGAATAGGAATGTACGCGCATACTATACACCTTCTGTTATATATGTTTGTACCAGTGGGCATGTGCAGATGCATGCGTCTGCAAAACAAGACTTTTCAAACTGCCCATTGATTGGTGGATACATTTGTTTAGCCTCTGAGGTGCTCCTGTTACCCTTCTAGAGGTCCCTGTAGTTTCTCGGGTTAAGCTTTTAATCTGGCACGTAAAACCTGGGTTATGTTATATAATTACAATTAAAGGTCTCTGCACTTAGCTTCACCTTTTTGTTATTTAGGCCTATTTATTGCGGTATTTATTAAAAAGTAAAATTTACATAACATATCCTTTCCATGTACATGTTATTAGACTGCTTTCTATTAGTTACTGATTTCTACATCTAAGTAACTTCTTTTATAGAGTTACCAAAAGACTGCAGTGGCATCTCAAGAAACAAGGAAAGTGGTGTGTATGCTATCCAACCCCAAGATATCCCCCACCCATTGATTGTGTACTGTGACATGACAACCTACAGTGGAGGTTGGATTGTCATCCAGCGTAATTCCTTTAACTCCGAGATTACATGGGATGAGTCCTGGACTACCTACAAATATGGCTTTGGCAATGTTGAGAAGGATTACTGGCTGGGCATTGAGTACATTCACCGAATCACCAAACAGAGGGTGTATCAGGCTCGTTTTGTTATTCTTGACAATAACAATGAAGAAAAATATGCTGACTACAACCTGTTCAGTGTGGAGGATGAAGCTAATGGCTACAAGCTGAGGCTGGGAAGCTACACGGGCACTGCAGGAGATGCCATGTCTTCAATAACTGCAGGGGTCACACATGATAATATGAAGTTCTCAGTTAAGGACAAAGACCAGGACACTAACGCCGCTGGTAACTGCGCTACCAGTTATGGTGGTGCATGGTGGTACGGAGCATGTTTTGCATCCAAACTAAACAACAAAAATGGAATACACTGGCAAGGGTTCTGTAATGGGAACTGCAAGGGATCATCTGTATTAATCCGGCCAGCAGATTACTGCATTTACCTTGATTAACTACAATATGAACACATTGATATACAGTACAGTGTATTGTTTCAATTGATGCTGATAATCAGAAGAAGATATATTCTGATAATTTGCACACAACAATTTATAGCTGTTTAATGCCAGATTGTATATTTTATAATTTTCTGCATTTTTAGAAAACATAAACTTCTTATGAATAATCACAAGTAGTAAAGATCAAACAACTTTCAATGTAGGCTTACAATCACCTTGCTATGATTCTACCACAGTTAGCCACTAATGGAATTATCCTATTGCTATTTTAACCAGATTCAGAATCTACTGTATTCTACAGCTAACATGAGACCATTTTTAACTTGATTTACTGTTTTCCCTGATGAAAACCATTGGTTTTTTTTTAGCATCCCTAAAGGATCTACAAACAATACATGCTTCCCCAGACTGAAGTAACAATGGGCAGGTCACCTGAAGCATTGGACAATTAAACACAAGTAAATTTACTGTGCCCGGTGATATCCAAGATTGTGGTTGAACATTCCTTACTTAAAGTACAGCTTTGGGAAAAATAAAGAAATAGCATACAAAAGGCAATCTGTTAATAGAATCAACACAGTAGTTTTAGTTTTTATGATTGTCATCTGTAACATAGTTTTATTACGTATTAATCCTGGCAGTAGATTGATAGAATTTCCACTTCTTGTAACCAACCAAGCTGTCCAGTAAAATTTGCCATTAAAGCGGTTGAGGCAGACTAAATTACACTGGTGGTGGTGCTTACAAATGTCAGCTTTTCTTCATTTATCTCTGAAGAAGGGGTACGCCCCTAAAATGTGTCAGCTCTCCAGCCTAGCTAGGTGTATGTTGGGGTACGCAACTCCTGCACTGTATGGCATCTCATGGTTTTCTATGCTTTCACACTTAGTTCTTTTGTGAGTACCCAACTGTCATTCTTCATGTTTTTAAAATATTAAAATGTTGGTAATGCACTACCTGTCTGTTCTTTTTGTAGTTGCACATTGGATTCCCCTGTCTGAGGAGGGCTGCATCGGCTAGGCATTTTAGGCACACATCTGTGGCTCATTCAACTGTGGAAGATCTCTGTGTGCTGAGAGTGATTGTGTTTTCTCTAAACCAAACTCAAAAACAAAAAAAATAAGATATTGTATCTTAGCAATCATTGGATGCATTGGCTACATTAGTTTTCTTTTTTTTTTTAAAGCGTTTATTTCTTTATTTTCACCTGGTGATAAGCCAGTAACACACCTCTGGTCTTAGGGCGGCTACAATATTTTCTGTAATGCATCAATGGAAGAGCAACGTAGCTACCCCTGGACAGCAGCATTGCCAATCAATGGCAAGGGTACTGTTGGATAGAATAGAAGATTTAGATGTACTTTAGATTGGTGACTAACAGCGTAAAGCCCAACTCCAGCTAATGCTTTTTAAGCAGTTACTGCAGAAGTTTTTTTGCTTTTGGGATAAAGGTGTAACAAAAATTAATAAACGGTGACTATTGTAAGCCCCCCTTTCAATGTAAATGTTTGTCTCAAGACTATCTGCTGGACAGCCTGAGCTGGACAGCCTGGTCTGTTAACAGAAGTTGAAAAACAACAGACATACTGGCTGGATCACCAGGTAATAAAACTATAATACAGGGGTACTCATAAAAACAAAGACTGCGGTGTTAATGCTAGTGGCAGACTGCATCATATATGTCATTTTTGGTTTTGGCCATAATTACACTTTAAATATTAAAATAAATGCTGTTTGCTGTAACAGCTTAAAACGTCTAAGCTGGAGTTGGGGTTTAATTTACTTGTCTGTAAAAACTACATGTTCATCTAATGGTAGCCATACATGCTTTGATTTTTTAAATAATCAATACGTGGTTCCATCAAAGCGATCAAATCTGCAAACAATCGAATAGGGATAACTTCCCTTCTGATTGATTTACACTCGGTTTCAATTAGTATACTCATTTTACATTAATCAGCAGCTTTGGGATACTTTGCATCATGAATTTGACAGCATGTCGATTGATCAGATTCTGAGATTACATGGTGAAAACAGGAAGGTGATAACCTAACTATTGATCAAAGTCCAGTTTCCCGTGTGTGTCAGGTTGAGTAAACGGGTTGTCAACTTAGATCAATCATTACTATTGGTAGAGATCAGTTGGTGAAAATATTGATAATTTGTCGAAGTGTATGGCCACCTTAAAATTGACTTGTTCGCTGTGTGACAATGCTGCTGTGCAATTTCACTTCAGACTGAACTGCATTGTCACCCTATTACAGAAGGTGGAAAAAAAAATGGATCTGCTGGCAGGATCAACAGTTAGTGAAAAACCAAAACTGATATGATAAAGTGTAACTAAACCCAGGACCCTGCATTCACTATATCTAGTCTCCCACAGTACACAGAACATGGAAATGCAATTATTTATGTAAATATAAACTGCTAAATACCTTTTCTCAGTTAGAGCAGTCTTGTGACTTCTATCAGTGTCCAGCACAGCACTGGTTAAAGCTTGTAGGAGGAGTTTTCATTCTGTTCTAGGAGGATGCAGAACCCCTGACCTCTGTCTGGACAGTGCTGATCAGGGACGGACTGACAACTCATGGGGCCCCGGGCAATAGGGGATCATGGGGCCCCTGTGTCCTTGCCCAAACTCAAAAAAGCCTATGAAAAAGGTACCAGGGGCATCTCCTGGGGCCCCCTACTGACCCTAGGCCCTCGGGGAGTGCCCGAGTTTCCAAATGGTCAGTCCGCCCCTGGTGCTGATTAGCCCTGTGCTGATCACATGCACTCTCCCAAGAAGAAAAAAAAAATCTCTCTAGCAATACACACCAAACTGAGCATGTGCAGAGTTATTCCACACAATATGTCTTATCAAGAGATAAGAGGGGGGCACTGGAATAAGGGGAGGATCAGAGAAGTCAGGATCAAACAGTGTTTTTACACAATGCAGAGGATTAACCCCTTAGGCACCACATTGAGTATAACAAGCATGCTTTACTGCATATACAGACTGATTTTACTGTTATGAGTTTTGTAACACTTTAATGGCAAGGACAAACTGCACCATATGTAATTGTTTATTTTGTCCATAATTCCAAAATAATTAAAGGCCAACAGTAACCAAAACAAATATTTTAGTTTAGCATTGCTACTGTAAGTTACATCCCAGGCTGCCTTTTCAGAGGAGACTCCATTTGCAAAATATAACAACCAGAACAATACCTTCCACCCAACTGCTCCAACTTTACAAATTCAAATGAAACCCATTCTGGATTTTTTCACAGAAATGGCAGTTTTGAATGTAGACCATTAATTACATGATATAATTTTTTAATTCTCTTAGCATGTAGGAAAAGTACACTAGGTTCAAGTTACACTACAAGAAGTACCTTGATGACCATTATTTTCAGCAATGGGAGCCAATGAAAACTGAAAACAACAGTCACAAATTTTTGTCTACCCCCCCCCCCCACCCTTCCCTTTGTCTTCTGTGATCTTCTGTATAACATTTTTTGCAAGTCTAGCTATGCTTTAAAATCAAAGTTTGTACTCAGAAATATACTCTGAAATTAAACAATTTTTCCACATATCTGTTGGACAAATATTACCTGTCACAGTATCAGATTACTAATGTAATCCTCTTGCTGTCCTTGGTAAAATGTTATGAACATATCCATTACCTGAACACTTGAATTGTACTTGAATGTTGCATGCTTTACACCTGTAGAAAGAAATAAACATTTAATACACAAAAATGAAACAAAGCTGACAATCACATCACTAAAAAGAACTGTATTAGTAAATAGCACATGGGTTAGAGCTTAGTGAATTGTGACAATTCAAACATCTGTTGAAGAAAATGAAGTTGAATAAAGAAAGTTAAAGTCGGTTGTTATGTCAATGTTCTGATTCCTTAAAAGCGGTAAAAGTTCAAATCTGGCAATTGCACATCACATATTAATTTATTAATTTGCTCATAGTCATGTGATTTCTATTAGGTGGCTGCTCAGACTTCCCACATGTATCACCAGTTCCATTTGTAGGGGCTGAGGGTTTCCACATTGTAGAAACTACCTAATGACCTTGGCAAACAATCCAGTTATCTGTCCTTTATCATGGTTCTGTGAGAATCCCCTAAGGACGCCCCCTTGGTCCACTCTTTCAAGCATTATAAATATGAAATACTACCTTGAGTGGTACTGTAAAAATCTACAAACTCTCCTCAGGAAAAATAAGCAGCTTTTTGAGTTACTTAAAGTACACGATTCTGAAATCTGTCACAGTGATATTTATCTGACACATATACATTTGCCCATCTAGTTCAAGTACACAATCAAACTAAAAAAAAACCTTGCATCTTCAGTCCTTAAACTTGCAGATGATCCAGAAGAGGACAGAAAAAGCAGCTACAGTGATACCTCGGTTCTCGAACTTAATTCGTTCCACGACTCTGGTCACGAACCGAATTAGTCATGAACCGAGGCAAATTTTCCCGTAGGGTTCAATGTAAATCAGGTTAATCCATTCTGACCCCTACGAACATGGTTGCGAACCAAAGTTGGTCACCAACCGAATCAAATTTTCCCATGAGGTTCAATGTAAATAAGGATAATCCATTCTGAACTTTTTTTTTTGTTTCTGAACCACAAAAATATGAAACAAAGTACAGTACAGTACAGTACAGTATGAAGAGAGAGAACACTAACCTTGCTTTAGACGACTTCTGGAGTGGAGGACAGGAAGGCGGGTGGGAGGCGGTTATAGTTCGGAGGGAGAGTCCCCCTCCATAAGGACATTGGGGAGATCTCCTTCAGGGGTTTCCTCTCTTCTTTGTCTCTTAGCTGCAGGGTCAGTTTTGGTGAAAAATCTATCCAATGTCACTTGTCTTTTCCTGCACTTCATAACCCTCAAAAAATGAGAGACCTCGTTATCATTCATCAGATTCAACACTCTGTTCGCTACAGTTATGTTGGAGTGGTGCTTCTCAAAAAATCATGGCACTCATT